TAATAATACGTAGGCTACTGAAGAAAAATTAAAAAATGATCTCAGTAATGTGAAGCATTCACACAACTAGACTCAGATAAAAGTCAGAATTCTGAGATTCAATTCACTTAAATTCAATTCAAAAATACTTTATTGATCCCAGAGTGAAATTAGGTAAAACCTAAAGATTAAAGGGGATTAAAGTCAGAATTACTTTTTATCACTATTTCAGTGACCCCATTCCTCTTCTGTACATATTATTTGCTTCACATGAGAATTTAGGGGCTCAGTAAATTTCAGTTTTAAAAGTTTGCATTAAAAACAACTACAAAAGCTTATACTGTACTGTATTTCACTGGTGAAATGATTCCTCAGCACACTAGGTGGCGGTAATGCAACAACCATGTACCTAAACACACAAAAAGCAGCAGAAGAAGAAGAAGGWCMAAGAAGTAAATGAAGCAGKAGAAGAAGAAAAATCCAACCACAACATTACAGCAACGTTTATCACTACTGACCGCTGACGTGACACTTCACTGAAACTCTGAAATTATTGTCAGTTATGTTAAAATGTCTAAAAGGAGTTTCAGTAGTTGACAGGTCAAGCTTGTATTCCAGTGGGAAGTTGACTCCTTGTCGGTAGGTGTTTAGAATTTCTCTTGTGTCTCTGTTTGCTCGATTTGTAATTTTGGGCGATTTTATACAGCTTGTGTTAGCTAGTCTGAAGTGTAGCGACGAACAACAATAACTTTCTCRCCTAAGTGTTGTTTAAACATACTGTTTGTTTAAGGAGTTTCTGAAAAGGAAACGTTGTACACCACCAATTTAGGGCTATTGTTGACTTTTATTTGTAGAAAAATACACATAATAGGCGTTTAGGGAAGACAAATGAAAGACTRGTCACGTCATAACGCCTGCATGCTAATTTTATTTAATTAAGACAGCCATAGCTTTGCTAGCTTATAAGTCATTTTTACCCATTGATTTGGGTACTCTTAGTATCGTATTTTAAATAGTTTTAAATTAATTTGATCAAGTGCTCAAGATAATGAAAAATAACTACTTATTTAAAAAGATGGTCCCCAGTAATTTAAAGTGCCTGTGACGTCAAATTTTTGTAATACATATGAATGCATTTTTGATAGGGATGCACGATATATCGGCATTCATATCGGTATCAACCGATATTGGTCATTTTTTTAGAATATCAGTATCGGTCCGATATGTAAAACTGGGCTGATATTAATGTCTGATATTGATTTCCCAATTTTTAGCTTTATTCTTTTGTTTTGGGAGGGGAGACAGTTGGTTGAGAGGCGTCTGTTTGATCATGATAGTGATATTGACGCTGCACATCCAGGGAATATAACTGAAGTAGAGCCATGTCAGAGGTTTGGTTCTTTATTTATGGTATCAAAAAAAGACCCAACTGTGTTTGTGTGTATATGTATAATATAATTTGTGTGTTTGTGTAATATCAGTAAATATCGGTTATCGGCCATAACAGCATTAATTATATCGGATATCGATATCGACTGAAATTTTTATATCGGTGCATCCCTAATTTTTGAAAAGATATCATTGACAAAATATTGCAAAATAAATTTCATGTCGCTGAGATGGAACAGTTGTTGAGATATTTTCCTGTAAAGTAACTATCTACTAAGTCAATATCAGCGAGAGATGAAGAGTCAGAGTTCAAATAGTGTTGTTTTATTAAACAAAGACCAGGGAGTTTTCTTTGTTAAAGTGTTCCCCTTTGATGTCACTTCCTGTTTCACTTTGGCTCAGCCAAGTTCAATAGAAAATATGCCAGTTATGGGACAAAATGGGTAAAATCATGTGTATTACTCCAACTTTCTTAAATATAAAGATGTTTTCTTTGACGTTTTGTATTTGAAGAATATGCATGTCACAGACACTTTAATTTGAAACTGATGGTAAAGTATTTTTAATTAGAACCAAAACATGATTTGTCAATAGGTTGCTAACATGTGTTTTTTATTGTTGTTTCTCTCTCTCTCTCTCTCTCTCTCTCTCTCTCTCTCTCTCTCTCTCTCTC